GGATCTGTAATGATTTCCGGTGGATCAATGCACGCACTGTCAAGGATGCACACCCACTCCCTCATCCAGCTGATGCTCTAGCAGCCCTGGGGGGCAATGCCTTTTTCTCAACTATGGATTTGACCTCTGGCTATTACAATGTGGAAGTGCATGAGGCTGACCGAAAGTACACTGCCTTTTTCATCGCCATTTGGATTGTACGAGTATAATCGGATGCCTCAGGGACTCTGTAATAGCCCAGCGACATTCATGAGAATGATGTTAAACATCTTCGGTGACCAGAACTTCATGAGCTTGTTGTGCTATCTGGATGATGTCTTGGTGTTCGCTCCAACGGAAGAGCTAGCGCTTGAGCGTCTACACATGGTCTTCCAGAGATTCCAGAACCATAACCTCAAGCTCGCCCCAAAGAAATGCCACTTTCTGAGAAGGTCAGTGAAGTTCCTCGGTCATTTCATCAGCATTGATGGGATCCAATCTGACCCTGATAAAGTGACTGCTATCACCGTCATTACTGAGTCAGACCTTATGGAGGTTGGCACGAATATTCCCTCACAGAGGAAGATCCGCTCCTTCCTTGGCATGGTAGTCTACTACCAGCAGTTATTGAGGGGTGTTCTGCTATGGCCAAACCATTGTTTCAGCTGATCTCATGCTGTAAAGGTCCGCGTGGAGGTGGGAGAAAACGCCGCCAAATTCGCAAACAGCTCCGTGCTGAAGATTGGACTGCAGATTGTCAGCAGGCTTTCCATCAACTGAAGCAGTCTTTGCTAGATCGTGTGGTGCTGGCCCACCCAAACTTCAATGAGCCCTTTCTCCTATCTGTGGATGCTTCTACCAACGGACTTGGTGCAGTCCTGTCACAAGTGCCTGCTGGTGGTTCAACAGCCAGACCGATTGCGTTTGCAAGTAAAGCGCTAAGCTATGCCCAATCTAAATATCCCGCCCACAGACTGGAATTCTTCGCCTTAAAATGGGCGGTGTGTGAGAAGTTCCATCACTGGTTGAGAGGTCACAAATTCACTGTATGGACGGACAACAATCCGCTGACCTACATCCTGTCCAAAGCTCGTCTGGACACGTGTGAGCAGAGGTGGATTGCTAAATTGGCACCATTCCAGTTTGACATCAAGTACATCCCTGGAACAAAGAATGTGGTGGCTGACGCCCTTAGCAGAGAGCCCTTCGTACAGTCTAGTACGTCTCACCGTTTGACGAGAGTGTCTTATGACGAGCTGCTGGCAGAGGCTGCAGTGGTTGGTGCTAATGGAATCCAGGAGGTGTTTCGCTGGTCAGCCAACCCTCCTGCAGCATCTGAGTGTGACCCACAGATATGTCAGGGTGTGGCAGTTGTTAAGACAGGAGCAGTATCATCACTAGAGGTTGCTGCTGTACTCCAGGGATGCAGTGAAAATGGTCCTGTGGTGTGCCCTCATGCTCTTCTCCTGCCACAGTTCTCACAGACTGTTCTGACAACTCCACAGGTCAACTCAGAGGTGCTCTCCCTTAAAGTGTTGCAGGAGAGGCAGAGAAATGACCCGGTTTTAAGTAGGGTGATCTTCTTTGTAGAAAGAAAATGGAGACCTTCCAGGAGGGAACGTGTCAAAGAGTCGTCAGAAGTCCTCAAGCTTTTGAAAGGCTGGGAAAAGTTTGTAATAAGAGATGGAGTTCTGTACCGGGTAGCTAAAAACCCTGTCACGAAGAACAAGTCCTATCTTTTTGTTGTCCCCAGCTCACTGTATCAGAAGGTGTTACAAGGCGTTCATGATGAGGCTGGTCACCAGGGTCAGCAACGGACTCTACCTGACAAGACAGAGGTTTTATTGGCTTGGCCTAATGCACGATGTGACCGAGTATGTAAAACACTGCACACAGTGTGTTGTCAGCAAGTCACCAGAGCCAGAAGCTAGAGCTCCTTTGACAAACATAAGGACCTCTGAACCTCTGGAACTTGTCAGTATTGATTTCTGGACTGCTGAGGATTCTTCAAACCGTTCAATGGATGTGCTCGTAGTTACTGACCACTTCACAAAGATGGCACATTCGTTCTTGTGCCCCAATCAGTCAGCTAAAGCAGTCGCACACCAGCTATGGAACAACTATTTCTGCATCTATGGGTTTCCCAAGCGACTGCATTCTGATCAGGGGGCCAGTTTTGAGAGTTTGCTGATTGCAGAGTTGCTGAATGTGGCGGGCGTGCCAAAGTCCCACACTACGCCTTATCACCCTGGGGAATGGCTCGTGTGAGAGAATGAACCGGACTCTAGGCAACATGATTCGAGCACTGCCACCAAGAGCTAAACATTGTTGGCCTCAGACCCTAAAATCTCTGACATTTGCCTACAATTGCACAGTGCATGAGACGACAGGATATGCACCATTCCTGCTCATGTTTGGGAGGGTGCCACGTCTTCCGGTGGACGTCATCTTTGGCTCAGTGCTCAGTGATCCGGAGGTGGTGGACTATGACCGCTATGTTGAGTCTCTGCAAAGGGACATGAGAGAGGCTATGGCTGTAGCTCAGTCAACAGCGACTAAACAGCTCCAGCGTCACACTGAGCTATACAACCGGAGAGTTCGAGGTGTACCATTGGAAGTGAACGACAGAGTGCTGCTGGCCAACAAAGGAGAACGTGGAAAAAGGAAGCTTGCTGATCGCTGGGATAGCACGGTGTATGTGGTGGTTGGAAAGGATGATGAGAGCCACACCTTCAGGATCCAGAAGCCCACTACAGGCCACGTAAAAGTGGTCCACCGCAACCTGCTAATGCCAATAAACTTTCTGCCTTTACCTCAGGATGACCAGGAGGAGGTTGTTCTGTCTCCAACATCAAGTTCACTTGACCTAAGTGTTGGGAGGTCACCAATCAGTGATGTCATTTCTGACTCAGCAGAGTTTAGAACAAGAGCGTGGGTATCTGACCTACCTTTGAGAGCAAGCAGCAAGACAGATGCAGAAAATGCCGAGCAGGTGGAGGGCACTGTGCCAAAGGGAGCCGTGGAACCTACTAATGCCCTATCAGAGGGCAGGGTGTTGCCATTAGCCCAGCCAGTCCTTGATCAGTTACAACCCTCTGATGGATCTGTTTCGATGGGCAGCAGTTCAGCAGACCCCGGTTGCACAGCAGTCCGAATGGCTTGCCCAGAGACCTCTCTGAATCCTATTTGTGACACTCTTACTGATGTACCTGTTACTCGTACTGCTACAGTGGCAGTAGTTGACAGTGCGACTACCCGTAGATCTAGAGCTGGGCGGTTGTTGAAGCCAGTGACTAGACTAATTGAAATGATGCACCAAAGAACAGCATTAGTTTGATGAGTTCTTCATGGTAAAACTACAGTTCTGTTTGTTTCAATTTTGACCTTGATGTGTTGTAACAACTTTGATGTGTCATGTCTGTTTTGCTATTTGGGAGGTGCATTTGCAGTTGCATATTAACAAAATATGTAAATGGGCATATTATTTTTCCTATGTATGTAGGGAGGGTTTGGCCAACCTTTTCTCATACTGATCCCCATGGGATAGTCTAAGTGATTAGATATTTGTAACTGTGAATTTGATGTGATTGTACCTCACAAGCGACTTTGGAAACGGTGGTTATGTAATGGTTTCCTGTGCATTTGAATAGTGGTCTTAGTCGATTTTGTGCTTTTGTACCTGGACCTTGCCCAGTGTTACTGTACTTTTTTTTTCTTCTTTCTCTTGTTTTTTTTCTATTGTTGTGTAGTTTTGTTTGTTGTAATGGGGCAAGTGGAATTCGGCAGGAGGGAGTGTAACATAGTTAAAATATTGTACAGAATTCCACTTGTCTTTACTTCCAAGTTTGGGTTCAGATGTAATGGGTGAAACAGCACCCCCTCCTGGTGGTTGGCAACGTTAAATATAGTGAACATAGATATCTCGTTGCCAGTTCATGAGAGATGGCGCGAGGTAGGTTCGCTGGGAACATTGTAACGGTCCTGTGGAATGTTCTGTTAGTTTGTTGCTAACATAAAATACTATTCCTCGTAAGGTACTGTACTGCCGGTGATGAACCTGGTCCCTGATTATTTTATATCCTGTTTCATCCAGGTACATATTGTTTCATTTATTTATTGTTTTATTTCCTTGTAATTCTGTCTAATGTTAATGTATAAAATACGGCCGTTGGCCAGTTCATGAGAGATGGGCGCGAGGTGCTGTACTGCCGGTGATGAACCTGGTCCCTGATTATTTTATATCCGTTTCATCCAGATAAACTTCATCTTGTATCATCCTGTCTCCTGGTCCATATTCACACAACGCAGAGTAATGACGAAAAGCCATAATAATTAAAAAGGTTACACAAGCTGTACTTGATGTTCAAGGATACATGGCACATTATTGAGACATTGACACTTTCTGCTGTGGCATACCCACCACTTAGTAAAAGCTGCCCCACAGTTCTATGCAAAGAAGGTCCTCAGCTATTGAGAAATGATTGCTTGCTGTTGAAATTTGTACATTTTACCCAGACGATAACATTTAGCTGCGGCTTATGTAAGGCATCAATTGAATGGTATGAAACTTACTGAAAATTGTGTACAAATAACCAAAATTATATATATAATATATATATATATATATATATATATATATATATATATATATATATATATAAAATTATATATAAAATATATAAATTTTATAAAATTATATATATGTATATATATAAAATTTATGTATTTGGCAATATACATATAAACTAAATATACATATAAACTAAAATATGATATATATGGTTATTTAAAAACTGAAGCTGTCCATGAACTCAAATGTCCGAGCTGCATTTTTGAACAGCGCTCAGGGGTACGCAAAGTGCACTAAACCGCAGCGAGTAACGCGGGTTGTAGTTTTTTTGCCTCTTCAGTTTGTTAGTTTACGAGCGGTGGCGACTGCCCAGAAGGACTGCTTTTCCCATAATGCCACGCGCCCCAATTAGAAACGTCAACGAGCCAGTGAACATTAAGCGGAGCAGACCAAAATCCCAAACAAGGAAATGGTGGGGGAATAAAACGACCAGATTATTTAATTAATGCATGTAATAATTAATATTTTATTTTATTGTAATTTAAGACGTATTTATGGGTTAAAATGGATTACGACTTCAAAACAAAGCTGGCAGCCGAGAGGGAGAGAGTAGAAGATCTGTTCGAATATGAAGGTTGCAAAGTGGGTCGAGGCACCTACGGGCACGTTTATAAAGCTAAGCGCAAAGACGGGTAAGATAACCGTGATCGGTATTGTTTGTTCTGAGATTCAGCCCATTTGCAGGATGCATTTTGGGACCGCGAGTCCCGCTTGTGTGTTGAACGCAGCGTTAGATTTGAACCTCCCCGAAGCGATATCCTTCTGCGTGTGTGTCTGTGTTTTTGTTTTCATGTAACGCACGCATTCACTCACCAACGGTCCCCCTCTACACTCACGCGCACTCACACTCACATATACACACACACGCGCATACTTCCTCTCTTTCCTCCTCCTCCGCTTCTCTTCCAACACTCCCAAACAGCAACATTAAAACCATGGCTGCTGGTTATCTCTTAGAAAGCGAGGCGGTGAAGGTAGCTCGGTGTGCTGCAGCGCTCCGTAGGGGGCTGCTTGCGACACTTCGGCGGGTTACGGTGGCCCCAGCTTTAACAGCGAGCAGTACCAAACTTTGTTTACTGACACACTAGGTTATTAGGGGCTCCTTTTATTTTTGACAGTCCGTGTGAAGCAGAAGACAAGCCCAGCATTACAGCAGATGGGATGTTTACATTCCTGCTAAACTGTTCCTACTGTCAGTTCTCACACAAAACCAGTTTCTACCTCCTTGTGGGCTTTTACTTGACATTTGGATGCTAGCCAAAAGGTGAATCACTCTGACCCTTCAGAATGGAGGGGGAAATAGTATGACAGACCAGGGAGTAGGTGCTATTTACTAAGGTTAACATCAGCTACTTTTCCAGCTGTCATATTCTGACAGTTCTGTGTAATAACAGTGACATAGGAGGTGCACACTGCCTACTTACCATTTGCACACACATTTTCAATCACAAACAACAAGTTTGTTTTACATTGGTAAATAAAACTTTTTTTTTTTAAAACTAAAGACAGTACAGAGAATAGATCATTGCTTTTTAAGACCTAGGAGAATGACCATAAATGTTCTCTATATTTGGAGGGATAGTTTGCAGGCTGAAAGTAAAAGAAGCTGTGGCAGAGAAGGGAAGCTATTGAAGGCTCTCAACTGACTTCTGAGGAGGCAGGATGATCGGTAGTTCTTGACTGACTGCAAAACACCTGCAGCAGTGGCTTAGTGACAGCAGCTGCTGAGATTTCTATTCCCAAAGCAAAGAACATACTAAGTACTGAGGATCTCCTTGCCTGAACTCCACAAAGTGCCACTTCTGACGTAAAAGTACAAAAAAAAAAAAAAACCCAGTTTGCTTCCATTTACATAAATAAGCTTAAAGCAGTTCAGGGATGAATCAAAACTGGGTCTATTTCAGGTCTGTGAACCAGCAATGTGACTGGAGAAGGAAGAATAATTTTCTCTTTATCTGTACAGGTCTCTGTACAGGTGTACAGTATATTTATTTCTAAGTTATAGAATATTACTAAAACCACAAGAGTGTTAAAACCAGAAAATGTTTTTTTTTTCTTCTTCTTCTTTTTCTTCTCCTTCTTTTTTGCCTTCAAGAAAATACTGTTTGGAAAATATGCTTGCCAGATTATGAACATGAATGTGAACTTTGGAGTCGATGAAATTGAGAAAAGTCAACAATAGACAGATATAAAACAGCTGTGTAGCTTTTAGAAAAGCTCTCATCAGCGAGGCGAATCAAAACACTTTGCCAGGGTTCATAAAGATTATCCCTTGTAGCAATGGAAAAATGTCATGTGGTGTAATGGAGCCATATTTACTCTGCCACAGGGCGATGAGCAGGTCGGGATAAGAAGACCGCCGAAAGAATAAAGAGCCAGGCTTTCTATTATTAGGCCTATTTATGAGCTCACAGGAATATTTAATAATCAGTTCATCAGTTTACAGGTGTCTGGCTCATCAGTCCAGTCTTGTTAAACTGTTATTATAACTCTGGGCAGAATTAAATGGAGTCATACCATTAGCTTAATGCCTGGAAAAACCTATAAGTATCTGTACGCACATGGCCATGGATCGCTGGTAGGCCCAGATTTCTGCTAATGTTGCATATAGATGCAGATCAGTTAGTTAGCATCTCTGGTAAATATGTGTTTAAAACCATAAAATAGATATTTTTAAGTGCAGCAGCATAATCTCCCTTTTGTAAACATTCTTTTTTGTTGCTCGCTAAAAGGTAGTTGTTTTTCTCTAAATTACTAACTGGTGACATATTTGTTGTCCAGCCCCCTTTGGCCAAATGCTGGACAGAGGGACGTTTGAACCTTTGTCCTCTCTGATGCTCTCTCCAGTTCAGCTCAGTCTTCAGGCTTTCTGTAGGATGAAGCTCCTGGTACTGAATGTTGAATCTGTGCTTGGTGAACCATTTTTCTGTTGATATGACCATGTAATTTGGATTAGTGGACTCTCACCTATTTATGGTTCTGTATTTGCAGAATTTTTTAAAATAAAGCACAAGTAAAATATTCAAAAGGCATAGGAGCTATGGGAAGTTGAAATGGTGCAATACTTCTCGACACATCATTGCCTGGTGCTTGCAACGTCACCAATCCATTCGTTTTCCTTGCCACTGATTGGCTGAATCCTCTGAGAGTGTAAACAAGGAATATTGTGGATATGAACACTGCCTTTGCTGTAATGCAAAGAGAGTGTTCATTGTTTTTATTAATGCATATTGTGGTATATTTTGTAGAAGTGCAACGATAAATTGGCCAGTCGATAAATTGATCTCCTTCATTTTGAGAGATCTGTGATTGGCCGATGCTTAGATGTTTTCCACTGATCTTGTCTACATCTGCAAAAGTTTGAAAATCAGCCACTGTCCTGTTTTGTTCTGCTCTGATAGAAGGCTGACTGACTGACAGACCCACCTACCAGTTCATGTGGTTAACAATAATCATTCTACTGTTTCCAATTTAGTGACCTTACTGTTATATTTTGTGACAAAACAATACTATTGGCCAATATCGGAATGAGCAGCTCTGTTTTTTTTTTTTTTTTTGTTTTGTTTTTTAAAGATCACTGATTGGTCAGAAAAATGCAATCAATCTACTCCTAATTTGTGCCTACACTTTGGCATTTCCTGTACTTGTTTATAAATAAATTTGCACATACAGCATGTATTTGTGTCAGTTTTTTTGTTGTTGTTGTAGTTAAGGGTTGCCATAATTTATACAATAAATAGTCATAAAAATCTTCAAATCTTAGGTGTGATGTAATGTACTTGCATAGCATTGTCAAAAATATTTGTATTGCATGTTTGTCCCATTTGTAAGACTCACACAGTTGTAAATGACTATTTTCTGGTTTCTGACTAAGTTTCTGGAAAATATGATTGATTTTAACAAGCAACGTACAAATGAAATTGGCCATTCACAATTTATATTGTTCTGTAGCTACATTTTAAATATGGATTGTTAGCAGGCAAGAACTGTGGACAAAAAAAGTCTGTGGTATCAGGAGTTGGTTCCTTCTGATGGAGCCTGTGCCTGGGTTGAATTGTCCGTGGCAGCAGGGAGGGAACGGAAGCATCGCCTGTTCTCACCGGACCCAACCTGTAAAGCTTATTAAAGTGAAAACTCCTGGTGCCATCCCCTGTGAGTGGAACACTGGGAACAAATTAATCCACCTTCTTAGGTAATATGAAGATATTCAACGTTTTTTTTTAAGGTTGGTGCGCTTCACACCTAAAGCCAGAGCAATACGCTGCTTTAGCAAGTTAATCCCACAAGAGGGGTGGCAGAGCTCAACAAGGTGTGAGCAGGGTTTAATGTGCAAAAAGAGATTGAGGGATTGTCCCTCAATGTGCATTCAATTTGGAATTGATCTCATGAACTGTTAGACAGGATTGGGAATGTGTGGCTCGAAGAATGTGCTCACATGAACAAGTAAAGTATGATGTATGTGAAAGCTGTTTACTGTTTTTCTTTCTTTTCTTTTTTTAAATCCAGTTTGTTTCGATTCAAAAAAGAAAAAAGTTGAGAACCCAAAAGAGTGAGTTATTTTTGTTTTGTTTGCGGACAAAACATACTGAGAAATTAAAGTTTTAGTATTACCGTAATTAAATTTCAAGATTGGACTTTAATAATTGTTTCATGTGATTAAAAAAATAAAAAAAATCTAGTAAGATATAACCTAATTAATTATTTAGAATGACTGAAATTCCACCACATTCACAGAAAGTTAAAAAAAAAAATCTCTAAAATTGTTTCACTGCCTTTTCTAGAATTTAGAAAAAAAGAATTGTACGAATGCAAGAGAAGTTTGGTCTGGTTTACCTTCGACAGTAAAGAATAAAAGTGGAGTCAGTGTATGTAGACTTCTTGTTTCAACAATATTTATTTTGAGATTACAATATAAATACTGTACAGGTTATGTCATGTTGCATGAGAGAAAGCAGTCACTGTAAAACATGGAGTCACTATTATTCCAAAAACAAATGGATTTCTGTGTTAATTAGATAGCTAGGTTAACTGTCTTTAGCATTTTGTGTTAGCTTTTGAGGCAGTTAGCGTTACTAATTGTATGCATCTCTCTGTATTTGGAATCTCCAGGGAATTTTAATGAACTGTGAGATTTCCAAAAGCCTGCCAATATTTTCAAGTCCAGTATAACCCTGTCTAAATGCTGTCTTCATGGGAATTAATATTCTTTTTCAAATAGCTGCTTCCATCCTTTGAGTTTCATCTCAGATGGTGAAAAAAAGAAAACTTTGACTCTTCCCTTAGTAACAACTTATAGAACAAAGAGCTGTTCTTAGGACTACTTTGCTATAATGATGCGTTCAATGACCAAGATAAAAAAATGTCTTTTTTTCTGGTGAGCAGCTGATTATTTTTTTCTGTAAAATTACAGGCCTGTCACAATGAGCAATGATAATTTGAGACAATCCTGAAATAATTATATCTACATCTTAAAATGAAATCAATACAATTCAGGCCCATATGATTAAATGTGTGTAATAATTCTTTTCAGTATTTCCAGTTTTTGTAAATTAATGAATCATTTAAACAATTATTTTATGAGTTATTTATTTATTGTACTTTGGCACTTTTCACTTCATACCTGTCTGGTGACCCAGTCTGTGTTATATTACAGTACATTAATTTGAAAGGGAAAAAAAAACTTGAAATATATCTTGAAAGTTGCTGTGCTGGACTTGTAGCTAAACAAATGACGTTACATTTTTTCTTGCAAAAATGATAGTTTTTAGTCATGTATGGGTGAATACAATAGACAACAAATCCCGGAGTTCCTAGTGAACCTCTGTATCTGTGTTTTTGCCCTGCAGAGTGCTTGATGAAGTACTTCATGGGCTGAATTTGCTGAAACGATAAGCACTTATTTTGTTTACAGACCAAAAGCTGAAATGTGACGAGTGCCTGTGCTGCTTGGTTAGCGTCTGCCAAGTGTGCCTGAGAGCTCCTTTTTTAAACCGTGTCCATCTGGGATGCAAATGAGGCTGGAGAGGGTTTGATGTGAGCACTACCAGGAAGTGTTTGATCTGTGTGGGCTCCACACTCTGTCAAGTCCTCTCTGGATACTGCTTACGCTTTAATTATGCCTCTCTGCGCAGGTTTTAATGGGGCCATGTCTCCCTTTGGCCCTGATTTCCTCCAGTCTGGCTCTCCAACCCGTGGTCCTAAACACAGGGAGGCCGCTCAGTTGAAGCTATAGCTGTTAGCCTGCAGACTCTGCTCTGTCCTGCAGGCTCACATTTCACTTATTAACAGATTTTCATGCACAGATCTGATTCTCAAGGGCAACTGGGGGGGAAAAAAAAGGAAATGTGCCAGCTGAGAGCTACAGCCAGGCCAGCATGCAGTTTGAGTTTCTGTCTGTGCATCAAAGACAAATTTCTGCAGGGCAGTGGTTCTGTGGAATGGTCTGAATTCTACAGCAGATCACCATGTAGGGAACCCAGGAGAACTCACTGAAGTTAAATGAGCAGTATTGTCTAAAATCAACTTTTCTTTTTTTCTTCTTTTTTCTATTATGAAGTTATTCCCTCATAACTGCCATAGTATGCTTAAAACTACAAATCCACATACCCTGTTATTAGAACAACACATTCTCTCAGAAGGTGTTGTATGTATGTATGTATGTATGTATGTATGGATGGATGGATACAAATAAAATACAAATAAACACAAATGTGTTTATATGTATTTCTTAGTGTTAAAATGTATATGAACACATTCATGTCAGATTTTTTCACATGAGAACATTATGCTGCTCTACCGTCTAATAGTAATAAAACCTCCCTCCTTTCTGTTTTTCTCTCCACAGGAAGGATGAGAAGGAATATGCACTGAAGCAAATTGAAGGCACTGGAATATCTATGTCAGCCTGCAGAGAAATTGCTGTAAGTCCCACTTTTTGTAACTGAGGCCTTAAAGATCCCCATCCTTTAATAAAACTCCAGTAGAATCTCATGATAGAGTCAAACATTTGACTTTGTAAGCACTTGTTGCAGATATGTCAAGTCTAGACTTTCTAATGACATTTAACTCTTTGTCCTTCAGTGTTACACAGTTCATATGTTCTATATTAAGAATTACTGTAAAGATGAGGAGAATATCTATATTCATTATATGTTGCTTCATTGAACACCAGATTGTTTTCTTGTTTTCTTTCCGTGTCTTTCTGTTCAGTATGTATTGCTTGTGGACAAACATTCACATTCTCATTACAATGTACGTCACTCACTTCAAAAGGGTTCCTTTTGGCACAGTTAAACAGTGCACTGTAGTGGTCCTGTCATGAGTAGTTTCTTTAACCTCAAAGACACCATCAGTCGGAGTGGGTTAAGAAACTCGTCCTTGTTTTCAGGACATTCATAAGGTCGCCTCAAAGTAGCGACAAATATACACACCCGATGACTAGAATTTTGGTGTGTACATTTCTGCAACTTAATTGCACTCTGCAGTTATATGAAACAAACTAAATCAGTTACGCATTGAGTCCATCTTCCTCCATCTCATCATTTGGCAAATTCTCCATCAGATAGCCAGCAGAGTGTCAGGATCAAGGTCAGGACATAATTTTTGTAGCAGTGACTCTTACCAGCTTGGTTTTAACCACTGGGATGTCAGTCACTGTGCTAGTGCCTAGTATTCCCCCTGTGTGCTGCTCCCGCCTCTTCCTCTTATGCTGTTGGAAATCTTTGTTGTTCTTCCAATTTGAATTTAAATGTTAACGTAAAAAGTCAAAGGTTTGGGGGCATATGTCAGTGATAGATCTCACGTCTCAGGTTCCAGTTCTTTTGGTTTGTAGAGGGAACATCCATCCATCCATCCATCCATCCATCCATCCATCCATCCATCCATCCATCCCATGGATGGATGGATGGATGGATCTCCACCATGCCTTGGATCCACCTTGCCTTGGATGGATCCAAGGCAAGGTGGAGTGCTTCTGAAGTGAGTCTCTACCTTCAGTGGAGGTGTTCAGTTTTCAGTTAGTTTTCAGGTCTACTTGTGTCAGTACAACAGGTAGAAAAAGTGTTCAACCAACATAGATACCACAGGTGTTGGTAGAACACCAAGACCTGTTCCATCCAAATGATTCAAAGTCTTCTGGAGAGAAATGCACAAATAGGTCCTTCTGAAGTTGTGGTCAGCTCTCTCCTAGTGCACTCTTTTTTTTAATTTTTTCTAAATGTGGGAAGCGATCCAGACTCAATCCACTCTTTTTTGTTTGTTTGTTCGTTTTTTTTTAAATTACAGCCAATAGTGACACGGTGAGGCATAATCTAAAATTGCACCAGTCAAACACAATAAGATCAAGAACTACTCAGGTGAAGTTAGCCTTCCTGTATTCACGCTGTAGATTCTATTACAGAGCGGACCCAGCCTAGCAAGTGAAAAAATGGCAACCTATATGAGTGAAACTTATGACAAAAGATACATTTTTGGAAGTAATTATGAGTTTTGGTGTATCATAAACAGCTATTTTTTAGTTACCGTAATAGGAAAATGACAACATATTTAGGTATGTTTGACTAATTGTGGATCCCTTTAAACTATTTGAAAGGATAATAGTTACATGATGGTAACATCACTTAACAGCTGATCACTTTACTGTGATTAGCTATTAGCTTGTTAGCTCAGATCCAACTTCTGCTTGTCTACATGCTGTATACCTTTTCTATAGAGCTTGAAATCCAAAAATTCAGATTTTTTTTTGTAGTTCAGGTTTATTTTTTGTAAACCAACTGTTGCACATCATTCTGTAAATATAATTCAATATAGAAAAATAATCTGCACTTGGATGTTGGTTAGTAAAATGTGTGGTTTAAAATGTTCATGGAGAGTATTTTCTCTTCTTTCTCAGCAGATCAGGCTTAAACTCATTTGTTTCTGAAATTTCATGGCCACCAGAATTTGGTTTTCCTTAAAAACATCTCTGAGACTCTCCCAGCTGAACAAAAGGGTCTTTGTGGCTCCCAGACCGCCTCCACGCTTCGTTTAGCAAACAGTTGGGTTCAGCAACTGGCAAGCCACATGTGGCAGAGTTAAGTTGGGAAGGGTGGAACGAGTTCGGTTTGGCTGCTCTGGGTTTTTGGCTTTGCAGAATGGCTGGTAATTTTTTTTTCATAGTAATGTTCTTCCTAGAGATATGAAAGTTAAGCAGCAGACAAATAGACAAAATATAGTCTATTGTATCATTGTATGGTTTTTATCTGAAGTCTCCATATAGACAGATCTTGAATTCAGAGACACAGAGGTGAATCTATATTCAGGTCGCATAACTAGAAATGCAATAGCAGGAGAACAGGCTAAAGACATATAGGAATCCATGAAGTATTGCCATTAACATTGGGTCTGGCTGATGCTACTCAGTTTTTAACACATCAGTCCAATGAGTAAAACTGGGCCAATATTAAAGGGCCAGTATTATGCAAAATTGACTTTTTTTTTCTTTACATCATGTTTTAATGTTATTTTCTCATCCAGAATATACCTGGAGTCTTGCTTTTATTCTTTTATGCATGTTTAAGAAATCCTGTTATCTCCCATGGCAACCATTCAGCTGTGCAAAAGGCCTGGTTGGACCTATTTCTCAGAGCTGCAGTGTCTTAGCTTCTGCGCTAAGACACTGCTCTCAAAGGACGCCACCCCGCGACTCCCCCACTCACATCTTTCAGACTAGCAAGCAGCCATTAGCAAACACCTTGTGGAACTGCACATTAGCTTTGCTCATTATACCAACTATGCCTCAATGCTATGCTGGTAAAAACATTGTTAAAGGGCTGATAGAGGAGCCATGTTGGAATAACTTCCTGAAGGTGGAGTTTCAGAAAGAGCAGGAGTTTTTAAAGGCCCAATTTCAAGGCATTAAATCACAAAGTTGTATTTCCTTTAAGTTATATTTAATGTACTGTATATAGCATTTTTGTAACCGCTGGAGGTAAGATTGATATTTAATTGTGCTATAAAACGGCACTATGTGACTGGAAAATACATAGTATTGATAATAGCAGATGTTTATTGTCAGGTTTGTTTCTGGGTTGGAAAACCTTCCTATTGAAAAAGAATTTCTTCTAGAGCCATGGATTCTGCTGACATTTTAAATGACTGGAATTGATTTTTACCCAAATGCTAAAGCTGATTGAATTGAATACACCAATTCAATCATGAAGGAAGCTGCCTTGATGCTTATATCTCTCTTCCTTCACCGGTTTATTCCGGTTTATACCAGTTTATACCGGTTTATACCAGTTTTTAGGAAACAAGCAGGAACAGATTTTGGTGTTCTACCAACACCTGTGGTATCTGTTCTACTTCCACAGGTAGACCTAAAAACTAACTGAAAACTGAACACCTCCACTGAAGGTAGAGACTCACTGCAGAAGCAGTCCACCTCTCTCCAGATGATGACCATGCAAGTAACACTTGAGATTGGTTAGGTCAAAGAGAAAATTGTGTGAGCCAGAAACAACCATCCTCCACTGCAAGGAGAGAAGAGTTGAGCAGAACCATGGCATCTTTGTCAGCAATAAAGTGTCTTTCATGTTCCTCTTACACCGAATTTAACTGCTCAATATTTGACTGTGGACCAACATAGACTGAACGGCTTTGTTCACTTTTTCCACTGCTATTGATAAACTTCAACCATAGGCAGATTACAATTCTAAAACTCGATGTCATCTGTTCACAAATCCTACTTCTGTTCACTGATTGGTCATGATGAAATGCATAATCAGGCAATAATGAAAACTTAAGATGGCAGAAAAATATCAAATATGATATTTTATTGTTGATGATATTTTCACTTGGTCTTCCACCTACACATGGAAGGAGATGTAGGCAGAGATTGCATAACTAAGCTCAGCAAGGTTTCGCAGCCCTGTAAAGCTCTGAGACACAAACAGTCTGGGTTTAGCTACTGCTTGGGTGAGTTGCGTAAATGCTCTGGTTGTCTGAGGTGATTGGTTAGGTCAAAGCTAAGTTTAACAGGGTGGGCGGAGCTTACTCTGGGTGGAGGAACACAAGTGTAAAGATTCCAAACACTTTGTGGTTTTGCAGTAGTTGGGTTCAACACAGTTAAACACTTCCAGATAATTCATGTTTACTTTTTGGTCTCAACATGGTGTTTATTATGGTGTTTCGTAAGCAAACTTCATAAAGTCAAAGTTCTGGAGTGCATTACTTGAAGTGAACTTATGGACGAACACCTAAATCAGCACAGCTCATTAATGAAAGATTGTCAACAAAGATCTTTCCTTGGTCACCTTTGTCCTTTCTGAATGATGCACTTCTTGCCTGGTTTTACTTGGGTCTCGGTGGTGTTGCACATTCTAAATCGTTTTTCATAGCTGATTGTTGTTGAAGTAAAGTGATGTGCAGCACATCCTCCCAGTAGTTAGAGTCTTACTTGCATCAATCAATGCATCTATCAACAATGAACATCTCAATTTAGTTCACTTTTAGCCATCATAATTTAAGATAAATATGGTAAGCAATGATAGTCAACATTATTAAGAATTTGTTTTGACCCACCAGGACTACTTTCCTCTGAATCTGAAATATGAATTTCTTTTCTTTTTTTTTTTTAAATGCCACAGTTCATTTTCAAAATATTTTCTGCTACACCATGTTTCCATTGTAGCTATCATCTATTTGAGATTACTTCAGTCAAATTAAGATAAAAATTACCGACCTCCTTCTTGTCTGTATGTTTTATTAGGACTCCTTAACCCCTGACCCCTTGCCTTGAAATTGAAAACTTGAACAGTAGTTTGTTACAAATGACCTTAAATCAGAGGAGATGAGTCCTAGACAGCTGTGCATGTTGAAATATATTCCTGATGCAAATGATACATTTGTCTGCATGCTGGCCTGCAGGAAGTGGCAGCAGGCT